CGCAACCTCAGCAGGGAGTGAGTCAATCACACGTACTTTTATTTCTTCAGTGAATTCATGATTCCTTACAGGTTTCTCTAAAGGCAGACATGAGGTCAACACTCTCCAACAAGCAGCCTCACTCTACTTTGTGTGGTTTTCTCACTGAAATTTGGTAAACTGATGAGCAATGGAATGTGGGTGTGTGTGCTTGTTTGGGGGCATAATAAAGATGTGAATGGGGTCAGGGCGGAAATCTGGCCTGATGAAAAGGATCTCCTGCTCAAAACTTTTCAGGTTCCCCAATCACTTCACTCAGTGCAGTGAAAGAGTAATATTCCAGAGAGACCTGCCATCAGGAAACCAGATCAGGGAAAAAGGCAGTAAAAAAGATGTGAGTTCTAATCCTGCCTCTGCCACTTACAGCTTTATGACAATGGGTGTTTACTTCCGTGAGCTTCAGACACTTCACCCGTCAAACAGGCATAGGAACAGTCTCCTGACCTCATCGGAGTGTTGTGAGAATTCGGGGAGAAACTATAAGGCATTCAGCACAGCACCCTCAGGCACTACACCTGCAGAGCAGGTGATTAATAAACAGTACCCCAAATGTGATTACATAAATAGGAAAGAAAAAGTAGAAGGAACAATTTCACTGAATTTGAAACATTAACAGGAATGATCAAAGAATCTATCCAGCAGGCTGACTTCTCTAAATGAAAGAACACTGGCCAGAGGAGAAAACAAAGGCTGTACACACTGCCCGTGGGTACAGACAGAAGCCAGCCTCTGAGGCTCAGTGTCACTGTACAAGGACAGCCACGAGAAGAACCTGTGCACAGCCAGTTGGGGCTGCATTCCCAGAGGCGGTGAAAGACGGCTCCAAGTCTGACCTGTTGTCAACTTAGGATTTATCTTCCCCCTCTTTCCCAAAAGGATCAGAGGCAGATTCTAGCAAGAGCCACATACTCCACTGACTCATTTAAATAAGAACCTAAGAATCAGAGGAGTATAATAAGGACAAGGTCCTAGCCATGATCTGCTGCCAACTGCAAATAAAACTTAGCTCTGGGCAGACAGAGTTAAGGCCAGAAAACTTGCAGACTGATCATTAGGCAGAGGAAGAATCAAGATCGATCAAGAAAGGCAAATTTTCCTAGCACTAAACTTTGAAATTTTATAATCAGAATCCGATGCTCGGAATATACGTAAGCTTCGGGTTCCCTCACACCTCCCAACCTCCTAACAGAAGCTTTGGCGTATTATTTTCCTCTTCACAGCTTTGCCAATTACCAGCTATGTGACCCGGAACCAACAGCCCTCCTCTGGATCTCAGCTTCCTCGTCCTTAAAAGGGAATGGTGCTCCTGCCTATTTATGAAAGGGAATGGAGGGACATTTGCTAGCATTCACTGGGTACTGGCTAAACATCAACATCTTTGTGTACACTATCTCACTGAAATCTCCCCAAAACCACAGAAGGCAGGTCCTGTGAGTATTTTAAAGATGACCTCCCTGGGTCTCAGAGAGGTGGGGACAGCTGCCACTGTCACCCAGCTAAAAGTAGGACACGATGAACCCAAATGCACGCTTCTGTGGTACCAAGGCAGAAATTTAACCATGACACTGTCCCCGTGTAGGTCAAGCACCGCCCAGTGTCTGCGACATAGTCGGCACTCAACATATTAGTTCCCTTCTTCATTTCTTCCTTTCTCCTAAACTACAATTATGTTATCTAGAAAACTAAGTTTACTGAAATAACATCGGTATCTTATATTTATATAGTTTCTTTCCTCTAAGGAGATCATACGACTTAATCTATTTTCTCTACTAATCCCACCAAATCTCTACCTATCATTATGTATTATTTCACTTATTTTACAAGTAAGGAACTAGAAGGCAGCAGGCTGCTAGGGTGACGTGCCCACGGTCATATGGAAGTCACTGCCAAAACCAAATAAAAACCTTCGTCCTCTTTATGTCTAAATCAACCTTTATCCTCTCATATGACACTGCCTCCATAATGAAGAACAGATCATTCATTTTTTATCTGGAAAACTACCAAATGTATAATTCAGTAAGGGGCCTCATGACCTTACCACCTTGTCAAAGGGAAGTAAGTATATAAAAAATGAGGTTTGCAGGAGCAGACGGTTTCGGTCCGTCAACTTTCTCTTAGATTACTCCCATTAACCAACATAAAATAATGTAAAATACAATGTAACAGATCCCCAAGTCTTTGGAAATTTAAGTAAAACTCACTGATCCTTCAAACTTACATACAATGCACAAGGGCAATCATTAACTCTGTAGGGCTGCAGAGGTGCACATGATGTCAACTGGATCTTTGAAAGAATAATATGATACACAACCGGGCCACTCTCAGAAGAATCGAAGTCAGCAATGAGCATTTAGCAGCATAAATTCATAGCATCCACAGAATTTTAAAGTTCCAGAGGGACGCGGCACGCCACAGAATAATCTCTTCATCTGGTATACAAGGAAACTGAGGCTCAAGGAGGTTAAGTGGTTTTTCCAAGATTTCACAAACAAAAGAACAAGAACTTAAAAACAAATCTGCTGACTACTACCCATTTCAGTTGCAAGTCTTACATCTGATGTCCATGAACACACTTAGCACTTTCCAGAATTACCCATTTATAAAGACAGTGCAGGATTAAGAGCATGTACTCTAGGAACAGAAAAACTGAGGATTCGAATCCTGACTGCAACTTACTGGCCATGTGATCTTGGGCAAGTCCCTTAATTTCTTTGAATTTTAATGTTTTCATCTGTAAACTGTAGGTAATAGTAAATGCCACAGATAAGCTGTAGATTATAAAGAAGGGACCGGGCCTGGCCACAGCCTGTGACCTCCATGAAGACAAACATCAGGTTCATATATCCCCAGCCCCTAGCCCAGAGCCTGACACATGATCCATTTGTAAAAATTTGCTGAGCAAATTAATGAACTAACCAAGCAAACAGGTACTGGACTTGAATTCAGGTCTACTTGGTTCTTAAACACTAGGTTACACTGCTCCAAATTCACAGATTTCAAAGCACAGTGTTAATTCCAACTTATAGAATACCGAGAACACAATGGAATAAGACAGCCATTTTCTGGCCATAAGGCAGGAAAAAAGTTTAGTGGACTCTAAGTGTTGGGACTGATTCTTGTTGCTAGCATGGGTACATCATGAGGCTTTAGAATCAATGAAACCTGGGCTTAGGTCCCAGCTTTCACATAAGCTGAGTGATCTCACCTCCCTGAGCCTAAATTTCCACAGCTGCAATAAACAGGGATTCTATGAGAAGTGAGGTAATATATATAAAAAATACAGGATGATGTGTAGCATAAAAAGACCCTATTTCCCCTCTAATTACTTGGAGGCTTCACTCATTAATTTCACTTAGGTCTCTGCTCAAATGTCACCTCGTTTTGGGGCGCCAGGCTGGGTCAGTCAGCTAAGTGCCTGACTCTTCATCTCAGCTCAGGTCATGATCTCAGGGTCATGAGATCAAGCCCCACTTCAGGCTTCAGGCTCCATGCTCAGCATGGAGTCTGCCTGAGATTCTCTCTCTCTCCTTCTCCCTCTGCCCCCGCCCCCAGATGTGCTCTCTCTCTCGCTCTCTAAAATAAGTCCTTAAAGAAAAAAAGTCACTTCCTTTCTGAACCTTCCTATCTACAATAAAACCTCCCGATTCCCTAGCCCCTTACCCCTCTTATTCTTTTTCATAGTTCTTATCATCACACAACACTACATCATGTATTTGTCTTTCTGTTTACTGTGCCTACTCAACCAGAAGGTAACCCCAGGAGGACAGCAGCTTTTTGTTGTTTATTTTGTTTACTGCTATAGCTCAGCCACCAGGAAAGTGCCTGGCATGTAGTTAGTGCTTAATAAATATCTGTTGAATGACTAAATGAATTAATTCAATGTTGATTTGGGATCTGCTATCCGTGAGGCACTGTGTAGAAGAGGGACTTAAAGATAATTAAGCGACAAGATGACAGAAGGAGAAACATCTGCCTGCTCTGGAATCTTCACAGGTTTGGAATCTTCAAAGATTCCTAACTCACCTGGGCCATCACGGTTGACTCCTGACTATCCTTATGTCTACCCTGTCCCCCCATGTTCCATTTATTAGTCCATTGCCAGAGAGACCCCCAAAAAGTCAACATCTGATCAGATCGCTCTGCTTAAACTCTTCCGGTGATTTGCCATTTCAATTAGAGTAAAGCCCACACTCCTTACCACAGCCTGAAAAGCCTCTCCTACCACTCTCTCTGCTGCCCTCCCTGAGTTTTAGAAACACTGGCTTTCGCGTTCTCAAACATGCCAAGGTCTTGTTATTTCTTTTCTTTTTTAATTTCAAAATAAACACATTTTTATTCACTCAAAACTCCAAGTTCTATTTATATAATTAACAATATTCTGTTCTAATGCCTAAATTTTTCAAGAAACAAGGACTAATGTAAAAAAATAACTCTTCAAGGAGCATGGGTTGGAGATGACAAGCATTGAGGTCTATTCTGATTTGGGGCCTTTGTGCTGGCTGTTCACTCTGCCTGAAAAGCTCCTCCCTGAGGCTGGCTCTTCCTCACCATTCAGCTCAGCAAAAATCTTACCTCCTTAAAGAGTCTTCCCAGGCTGAAGTTGTCCCTCCACCATCACCCTCATCAAGTTGCTCTATTGGGTCCCAGCACCTTTTCTTTCCTCACAGCATTTCATTATCTGGAACCACTCTGCTATTTATGTGTCCTACCTTCCCAACCAGAACACACGCACAGACAAGGACTTCGCAGGTTTACTGCTGCATCTCCAGCCCCTAGTACATAGTAGGCACTCAATAAGTATTTCTGAATCAATAAACTGGATCTCAAAAGATGTTGGAGTTTGCCAGAATGAGAGTACAGGTAAGGTGTGCTACCAGCCTAACAGTATCTTGATGTGTTGGTTTCCTTCCAAGGACAACCACCCTATTCCACCAAACTATGTGAATTTTAACCGAACTTACCTGGGAATGGGTACCCGAATCAGTGCCCCTTCCACTTCTGGGTTCAGATTCATCCCACTTTCTCTTATAGCCTCGACAGCTGCAGCTGTACACTGAAAACCAGATCAAAAGGTAAACAGAATTAGAAAATAATTATTACCAGATGCAAGCCCTCTGTCGATAACTGGCAACCCATCTTGGCAGAACATGGAAACATTTAGTTCTGTTACCAGTACGATCAGGAAGTTACATTGGTGCAGAGTGCTTTGATCAAGCTGAATAGCAAACTACGTCCACTCCTGGTACCAGTGTACTGCGGGAAGGAAGAAAAGCAAAGAGAAGGAAAAAAGAAAAAGAAAACAGCTCTGCTTCTTTGAAAAGATTTCAATGGTTTGAGGCAACACAGATCAAAACCACAATAAATCCTCAAGGGAGGGGGGCTGGTCTGTGCAAAGATTGGTGTAAAGACAGATGAAAGATTTTATACATTAAAAATTCCAGTTGACATTTTACACTCAAAATATACCAGTGCCGATTTGGAATGAGTAAATAAATTTAACTCATTCGCATCTACATTCACACCAACCACACTCACGTTTTGGACTGAGCAATGAGTCTCTGCTGGTATATGCTCTAGGAAAGGCAGAATGGGCTTTAGGGTCAGAAAGAGCTCAGTCCAAATCCTAGCTCCACTAACCATGTGACCCGGGGCAACAATCCTGACCTCTCTGAGTCACCATGTTGTAATCTGAGACCACAAGGCACCTAGACCTCACAGAGGATTAAATGAGATAACATGAACAATGCACTGGCTCTGTGCCTGGCACACAGTGACATCCAAGCAAGGGGCCTTACCATAGAAACTTATTATATAAAGGTAAGAATGCACAAATCCTCCAAACAAGGCTGAGTTGATGTCATCACTCAGCTGATGCACTGCTGTCCTGACTGACATCCTTCAGGTTCTTCTCCGATACAGTCTTGCTCTCTACTGGGCTAGGTGGCACAACGTTACATTGAATTCCCAAGGTGTGGGTTACCTCACCTCAAGTAACAGTATAACTACACCTGCTATGAAATCCTAAAGGATAAAATAAAGCAGTGTGGAAGAAAGTTACTTTCACTGGCATCACAATGTGGAATTCATGAAAAAAGTCCTCTGACATTTTCAAAGAATTTCACGTTTGACCAAAGCCAATCTACTTCACTTGGATTCACAGGGCCAATTCTTGACCTTGAGTTCCTCCCTAGACTCTGTGGTTTCATGACTGCACACCTATTTTACTTTTCTAGGTTTTGTTTTGATTTTTGAGAGTGCCTAAAAAGCTTATCCATTTCATCTTAACATGACCTTAATTCTACAGGGACTTAAGGTGTTACCATAAGGTCAAAAAGACAAACCGGAAGTCCACATGCACATGAATCATCCCTTTGGGCGGCTGTACACAGAATACAACAGCGTGACCACTGCTTAAAATAGTAAATCCTTAAAATGGTACCTCTAACCACAGACTACTGGAGCTGGAAGGGATCTCTGACATAATCAAGTACAGTTCCTTCCGTATGTATACAGGGACCCTCCACACATAGGCAGTCTTCCCTGAGAGCCAAGAACAAGGGAGCGAAGACCTTGCCCACATACTTCCGGTTACTGGCCGAGTTAGGAGGAGACTCCGGGCACCTCAACTCTCCAACCAATGACATTACTGTGAATTTTCTTCCAGATCTATTAGCTCACTGTATTCAGTAATTGAGATATGGGGAATTTGATTTTTTTTTTTTAATAGCCAAAAATAGGGGTGCCTGGCTGGCTCAGTCGGTGAAGCATGAGACTCTTATCTTGGGAGTTGTAAATTAGAGCCCCACATTGGGTGCAGAGATTACTTAAAAATAAAATCTTAAAAATAAATAAAAAAATAAAGTAGCCAAAAACAATTTGGAATTGGTCTGGTGTATAAAGGGAATGGTCAAGGTAAATAAAAGAGCTGGATAAAGAAATGAAATTTTCTTCCATTTCTAAAGCTGGCAATAAAGGGAGAATCTCTACTTTGAAGTGACCTGATCTCAAGTCTCCGAATCCCCCTCTTCTGAAGCTTCTCCCTGAATGACCGAGAACTCAGCTGTCACATCCCACCACCACCAACTGCCTTTGGCCGTCTGGTCCCCAGTCTTCCCATACAACCTTCCCCCATAGGCATGGGAACGCCCACCTCTGCTTCCAAGCTGGGCAGGAACTATGCCTCAATATGTATGTCTTCTCAGTATAATTACAGTGCCAGGTACATGGTAAGTGCTCAGTAAACGTATGTTGAATACGTAGATAATGAACTGGCTTAGATCTGTTAGAAAAACTCAACTCCTTACTTTTACTTCATGTATATAACCCCCCTAAAACTTTATATTATACTTTACTTGTTCTGTCCTTTCATATGCAGAAAAAGTATGAATCAAGAGAGGTTTCATTTGCAAAAAACCTATTAAAAGAGGTAGTTCTTCTAAAATATTCTAAATATGTAAATTTTCATTTGATATGGTAGGTAACAGAAACTCAGGGAATCACAGTTATTTTTCCAACATGACTTCTGAACTACTCATGGCTCAGACAAAAAGGCACTTATTTCTACTGCACTTCCATCTCAGCCTGTACCCCCTTACTGAAGGGATGCTGACCAGTACATCAGGGCAAATGGGCTTTTCTCAAACAGCAATACTGACCAACTGGTTGTAGCTGCTTAGGGTACTGTGTGGAGCAAGCTCATCGACCCCATCTAGGGTCGGGCAAGAAAGAGTGCTGTGATCAATTAGCAATGTCTGCTATTGCTGTTCCTAAGCTAATCTGGGTTAAAGGATGAAAAATGATAAAAGTTTTGTAGACAGGTGAACAAGAACTTTGACAATGTGGGTCCGAGTCAACTTTGCTAGGGCCATTTTAATTACCGGCCTTCCATTCTCTTTATATCCCAATGAGTCCCTCATGTGCAAGGTCTATGAAGGCAGGAACTCTGGCTGTCTTAATCAGTGAATTCTCAACACCTCAAATAGAGCCTAATAACTCGCAGAAACTCAATAAATATTTGCAGAATTACTGTAGGAATGGTGAAAGGAACACAGGCTTTAGTGTCAAACAGACCCATGTTCAAATCTTGACTCTATCCTTACAGTGTGAACCTGGGGAAAATATTTAACTTCTCTGAGCCTCATCTATAAAATGGAATAAATAATGCTTCATCTGAGCAAGGACCTACGTGCATCACTGAACAGGAGAAAGTAATGCCTGGCAACATAGTAGACACTCAACACACATTAGCTTTCTTCCTTCCACAAGAGCAGAAGTGGAGCCTGTAGATTTTTTTTTTTCATTTGCCTTGTTCAAATCAAGTTGTGGTTTTGACTCCCTTCTTTCCTTTCCCATCATTAACTCTAGCTGCAGGCAAGTTTATGGAAGGCAGCAACTGTGTGTATCATTTATCAAGCAGGACACATGTTAAACAAATGCAACACAGTTTTCTGTCCTCAATACATTTGAAAAGATTATGCATGTAAATCTGCATCATGTCACTACAGCACGACACAGAAATGCTCAGGTCTGGAAAGAAAGCCAACCGCATGTGAAACAGAAAGGAATTACATAAACACAGAGGGGATTAGCTCAGCATTTTGAAGCTATGAACCTGGGTACTCTATGGACAGTTTCTAAACTGGAGGAAGGAAATGTTTAGTTAGAACTATTTGTTTAATATATACACCAGATGAGATAAAGGAATTCAAAAGACAATGTAACTCACACTTCCTCACTCTCTCCTTGTAAAAAACCTCTCTACTGAGATGATTATGAAGGTTTTGGGCTTTTTTCAAAACTCACAGCATTTCAACTTAAGAGAAATGGGAAAGATGCTTTGGTTGAAAAATGAAGATATATTCCAACTTCCTAAGAAAAAATTAAGCTGTTAATACTTCCTCCTGCCTCATAAGATGCTCTGGTGGCCAATCAGGTGCTTCTTCTGTGAATGCCATTTGCTATTTAATAACAGAAGTGGCTGGCTCTGAAAAGCAATCTGCCTGATGAGGTCTTCAAGCTGTGTAATTAGGAGGCTATTCCCCAAATTGGCCCGCGGTGCCCATGGGATCAGATGAACAAGGCAGAAGGCCTCGGCCATTCAGAGGGAGCCAGAAAGGGAAAGAGTTGACAATTCTCTTTTCGTCCATTTCTCTGCTTCTCAGTAACACCAAGAAAGAGTGGCCTCTTTCCATCAATCTAATGACCAGTATTCATGCACCTGAGGAAAAGTGACTGAGTGCTTCCATGTGCCAGGCACTGCGATAGGTGTTGGACACAATGTTAGATACGATTCCTACATTCCAAGCTTACAATCTAGTGGAAGTGAGATGGAAAATAAAGATGTAAATAAATGCCTAACTGTTAATGATGAGTGCAGTGAAGAAAAAGAACTGAGCTATGTAAAAGAGGTTAGTGTGGACGAATAATTTAGATTAAGCACATTAGGGAAGGTTTCCCTGAGAAAGTGCCATTTAAGCTGTGATCCAAAATATGAGTAACAATTAGCCACACAAGAGTGTCCTAAGCAAAGGGAAGAGCATATGCAAAGGCCCTGAGAATACAAAGGGTGTGGTGTGTTTGAGGAACTGAGAGGCCAATGTGCCTAGAGAGGTGTACAGGGACGACAGTGGCATGAGACTAGAGAGATTAGAGACAGGCAGGGGCCACATCATAATGCAAATCCTTCTAGGCCACAATAATTTTTTTCTTAAAGATTACGAAGCCCCTGATAAATTTAAAGCATGGGAATGACATAATCTAATATATGTTTTTGAACGTTCACTCTGGCTTCAATATGGAAAATGGAATGGGGGAGGGGTAATAAGTCCCCCGCCCCGCCAAGTGTGCCTCGAACATCAGCTACAATAGCCCTCTGATTTGAAACAGTTTGTTCATAGCAAGGACTTTCCCTTACTCATACCTCTAATCCAGTTTGTCAAATCCAACAGGTTCTACTTTGGTCTCTGGAATAGAACTACTGAAAGAGACCATCGAAACAGGAAGGGACCTCAGATTCCTTCATCTCATAGTAACAGATTAGAAAATGGAGGTCAAACAGTCAGCAGGAAGGAGAGGTGGGACCAGGTTCCAGGTTCTCCAGGACTCCCAATCCAGGTCAGTTCCTACTGGACCAACAAGTAAAAGCCCATTTATTTCCTCAACCAGACTAAAATCATAGCCTCAAGGTTGCAATGATCTAAGGCAACCCATTTTACACCTTGGAAGCTCTGTGCTCTGTAAAATTCTACAATGACCAGTCCAGTTTGAAAGGAATATGAATTCCAGAAGGTCTGCTCCAAATGGTAATGCAAAGATCACAAACTGGAGGCCCATAGGCCAAATCTGGCCCATGAACATGTTCTGTCTCATAGTCTTTAAAAAAAAAAAAAAAAGTGAATCAGTTATCAACATTTAACAAAGGTCTTACATAAAAATTTGAGTTACTGGCTTCATCTAGAAATAAAAACCTTAATATCTGATAACACTGATGACCAGGTCTACATTTCTGCCTGGCAATGATCAGCAGGAGATGGGCAGAGGCTACTCCCTTCAGACAGGGCACAGGTTCTCCTGCTTACTCCAGCCCCTTCCATCTGGCTAAGTGCCAATCACTGCATCGTCACTATTGTTTTTCTTAGATGGAGCCTGTTTCAGTATTCAAATTACTTGCCTGGACTTTTAGTGTTTGAGTTTAACAGAAAAGGAATTTAGAAACAGGAAGAGAGCATTTCCTTAAATCCTGAAGTTCCCTTTATTGTGCCTTCTCTCTTGTTTCATCTCAAGCTGGAGGGAATACTTCCTCCTGACTTGACCCAGCCCCCTCCATTCCAAAAGAGACCATGAAGAAGAATCCTTTTTGGCAAAGCCACCTCACCTCTGGGAAGCTGGCCATATTCACCAAAATCAGCTGTGGCGACTTCATAGAGATCTGGCCAATCTGGTTTAAAGCAAGCTTCCCATCAGCAGTTACCACAGTGATATGATCAAGGGATCCTAGAAGAAAAGTCACAGGGTGTTAGAATTCAGAAGGACTTTAACAGCCCCACATCTAAGTCCCTACCTAATTCAGATTCAGCGAATATTCGGGGATCCCTTATCAAGGTGGCAAGACCGTTCAAGGGGCTTTTGTAGGAGCAGCAGTGTCACATGATGGAAAGGGCTCGCAAATGTTGACAGAATGAGGCCTCCCTACCATCCACGAGGGTGGCCAACCATAAATGGCTCATTCTGAGACACAAAGAGAAAGGTGGGAAGGAGTCCTTTCAGACAAATTGGGTGTTGTCCCAGCAAACTGCTGCTAGAATAATGCAGTACTTTTATGGCCCAAAGATCCGATTTGAAGTATTCAACCAGTTTCAATGTCATCACAAGAAAGGAAGTTGCTGATACCAAGGGCTTCAATCTGGAAGAGTCCAGGATGTATAATGGTAAAAGTCTCCATGATTCTGAAGACCAATGATGTGGGTTCAAATACCAACTCTTCCATCTCCTGATTATTTGACCCTGGGCAGATCCCCTCAACCTTTCGGCACCTGTTTCCTGAACTCTAAATGGGGCATAAAAATTGTACTTCTCTCATAGTGTTGTTAATGAGGATTCAATGAAAGGGTTTCTGGAAAGCACTTGTAACTGTGTCCTGGCATATACAAGTGCCCAATAAATGTTAAATTATTTCTTGACTTTTTCCTAAGTTTTAACCAAACCAACCTACTTCCAATTTCTCTAATACAGTCTTCCGCTTGCCTCAGGACTCTGAATATATATATTTTTCTTTCTATTGAGAATGTCCTTCTCTGTTCAGGTAACTCGGGCTCATTCTTTAACACTCAGCTATAACAGTATCCAATCTCAGAAATCTTAACTGACCTTCTGGGCCGGATTACAAACCCCCTTATGAGCTCCCAAGGACCATATGCACTCTTCTATAATAATCAGTATTTGCTGAACATTTCCTATGAGGGAGACATTGTGCTGAATGCTTTCTATAATTTGGTTGCTTTCATTATCACAGTAACACTAAGAAATAGTACCACTATTTTTTGAGATGAGAAAACTGAGGACCAAACAGTAACTTGCTCAAGGTCACAACAGCTCTTAATAATGGAGCCTAGTTTGGCTAACTCTAAAGGCATGGTCTTCACCACTCTGCTTTGCTATATGGTTTTGTCCATGTTGGTTTACTTGTCTATCCCTTCACATTAGGCTTGAGGCTCTTGGAAAGTGGGAACAATGCCTTTTCTCTATCTACAGCACCTATTCATCAGCACAGCATTAAGCTCAATAATGTTTTGATGAAAACATGAGTGTGTAGATGGGCAAATGAATGGAAGAGGGCAAGAACAAACATGTGGATAAATCTGTATCTAGACAACTACCAAAAGCAACCAACTACCTTGGAGATAGAAATTGCTGGTAGACGGACGGAGGTGTGAAAGGAAAAGTGCCTGCTGGCTCAGATAGTAATGAAAGAGGATATGGAAGAATCTGGCACAGAAAAGACTGGCTGAGTTCAGTTTCACCCAGTCTCTTCATGGCCCCAAGTTCTATGGAGAACGTTACACAAACATAACCTTGAAGAGAAAGAGGCAAAGAGGAAATACCAACGGGAGGCCTTTTGAAAATGGATCTTGACTCAGCCTTCCTGATTTGCCATAAGATCCTGTGCCACAGAAGTTGCAACATGGGCTTTTCAGTATGCAATTGTGGCGTTTCCCGTTCCCTAAATCCATAGCAACATAATGCATCAAATCCTTTTCCCTCAATCTGTCCCCAGCGAGAATCTCCCTCAGCCTCATTCCTGCCCCTCATTTTCTCAGAGGTTAACATTTAACAAATTACACTCCCAACCTCTTTCCAGGCCCATCATCTTTTTAAGTTCAACAAGAGTAGAGCTTGCTGGCTAATTTTAAGTATCACATTTCTCCCTGAGCTCCTCTCAAACTGCTCTCTGGTTTCGGCTGCAGAATGTTAACAGGCCAGAAAGCACAGGGGAGACAAAGCACTTTATCAGTTTCATACCTAAAATAATAAGCAAGTTTAAAATAAACAGTTGGGAGAGATTGAATGGCACGCTCTACTGTCAGCAAAGGCAGAAATGCCCCAGTCCAAAGGTTGACAAATGACGGAATGGTCTTCTGATTTCACATAGGATCTCGTCTCCCTGAACTCAGTATGTTTCTGCTGGTGTTTATAAATGGAGCTGTATATTTTTCACTTGGTTTTCTTAAGAACAAGCTCACAAAACATTTTCTAGTTTCCTTAGGAACGATCCCAACCAAGATGTGAGTAGGAGCAGCCCAAGCTCCCATAGATACCTTCAGAGGGGGTCCCAGGCTTGACTCTAGGATGATGACAATTTCCAAAAGGCCAATTTAACAGCAATTGGATTTTTCCTGCCTGCCTGCACCATTAGCTGACAACTCACTTCTTCCATCACATCTGCAAACAGTTCTCCTAGACAGTTCTGACATTTCCCACTTAGAAAAGCCACTTTCAGGAAGTTATTAACCCAAACGGAATCTTCCTGGTCAAGCTCAGGGGTACAGAAATGCCTCAGACGGATAGGTTTGCAGCCACTTGGTTCCCAGTAAGGGATAAGAATGGCCAAATAGGACAAACTGCGAAAATCAGACAAAGATGTCGGTTACTGTGAGATTATATACCTAGAAGTGCTTATATAGTATAATCTTAATAAAACCCCCATTTTTTGAGAATGCAATTCCGTGACAGCAAAGACCATGCCTATTTTTTGTTCACCACTGTGTACCAGCACAATACTTAGTTCATCGTAGACAAATATTTGCTAAATGGATGAATAAAGTAGTATTAATGATGAGCAGGCACTGTGCTCCAACCATTCCGTATGTTACCTGATATATTTTAATACCTACCCCAAAGCTATGAAGTGGGAATTTAGACAAGGAAACTGAGGACCAGAAAAGTAAAGTAACTGCCCATGGTCACCAGTTAGAAAGTAATAAAACCGGGACTGAAACCCAGCTCTGCCAAAGCCATGATCTTTCCACTATGCCCCTCTCCAAAACATTGGTTCAGCCACTAACCTGGTGAGGTCCTTATATTGACAGTCTTATTGAAATTATCTTTGAGTACTTCCATCACAGACTTCATTTCTTCATCCACCTCTTCCAAGCTGATTATATCCTCAACCAAGGCAGCATTAAGATTCACTCTGGTTTGGATTTGTCCTTTCCCTTTGGCTAGGAAGTCAACAATCAGTGAATAAAAGAACAGCAGCATACACAGAGACAATAAACAACTGGTGAAGAAGTGCCACTAAGTGCAGAGAAAAATGCCAAGTGCTAAAAAATTATACATTATTAGTGCCCTAAAAGAGAGCCTACACTGACTGTCCACTAGGTACCCAGCACTGTGCTAATCACTTTCTGAGATACTAGTGAAGGCACAAGCTTTATAATGAAACACCTCAGGTGAAAATCCTGGCTATGATGCACACCAGTTTTATGACTTTGGGCAAGTTACTCTACTTTGCAGAGTATCAGGTTCCTTGCCTGTAAAACAGGGATAATACCTATATCGCCAGGTTGCTATGATACAAATTAAGTAATTCAAATACCTAAAAGAGCACTATCCATATGGCAGGCACTCCATAAATGAATTCCTTATTTTTTAGAAAAATAAACAGAAGATAAGAGAGGTAAAGTGACTTGCCTAATGTCGCAAGGTCATGAAATAGTAAAGCCAAGATTTGGTCCCGGATCTGCCTAATTTTAAACCCGTGAACTTTCCATTAGATTGTCTCCAAAAAATCTAACTGGAGACACAGGAAATACATTAATTCATTTTAAAATGAATACTAAGACAGGATATGCAAAGTATCTGATAGCTGGGATGGACAAAACGAACAACAGTAGTTAACAAACATTAAAAACCACCAGTGGTAATAACAATGGTTGTATTTCAGAAAATCAACAGCAATGGGGGCTGAAAAAAATTTGATTTTATGCCTAAGCCACCATGGTGATTTTTCATATATGTTCTATATATATAGATCACTTCCATGAGTAAAACAAATATTCCTGCCTTTCTTCATGGAAGGTGAGTGAAGGGAAAAAAGAATAAAAATATTAAGCAATACTATCCTACACTTAACTACTCAACAAATATTTATTGAGATTCATTCATAACAAATTTTATTGAACATCTACAGTGAGCTAAATCCTGTGATATTTGCAGAGCACATTATAATTTGCAATGCAATTTAAAGTACATTCTTCTATTAGAAAGTCAGAGCAGCTCCCCGAGGTAGGAAGAACAGAGATTATTATTGTCCCCTTGTACAGGGAGATGAGATGAGAAATTTATAGCACAAGTCATTTTAATGTTTTCCCCCAAGTACCAACCAGTAAGCAGCAGAGTGATTTTTTAAAAACATGTATTTGCTTGTGTCCCCACCATGCGTGAAACCTTATTGCTTTTAATAGAACAATGGCTTAGAATTTTCAAAACTGATGAAAGACGAGAATCTTCAGATTCAGAAATACAGGTTCCAAAGAGGATAATAAAAGTAAATTCATACCTAGACATCCTGTGAGTGCAGAAAACCAAGGACAAAGAGATACTGAAAACAGCCCAAGATAAAAGACAAGTGATCCACAAAGGATCAAAATTCAGAATAACAGCATACTTTCAAAGAACAACAGGAGCTAGAAACAATGGAAATAGTATCTGCAACTTTCGATTTTTTTAAACTAAGAATGCATGTTAAAAATTTTAAGTTATGCCTATCAGTATCAGGATGGATAATATGAACGAAATAGTATACAGCCATGAGAAAGAAAGATCTACAACTACACAGAAGAAAATGATTCTTACAAACATACTGTTGAGCAAAGAGGCTAGACACCAGAATACAGAGTGTGCAGTAAAAGAGTCAGATACAAGAATGTACAGTACAAGAGACAAAACTAACCCATGCCATTAGAAGTCAGAATATCAGTTACCTGCAAGGAGTAGAAGAAGGTGGGAAGTTACTAGAAGGGAGCATAAAGGGGACTTCTGACATGCTGAAAATGTTGATTCTTGATCTGGGTGCTGATTACGCAAGGGTTTTCAGTTTGTGAAAATTATCAAGCTATTTCCTATGACAGCTGCACTTTTCTATAGGTGCTTTTTAATTTCTATAAAAAGTTAAAAACAGAAATTAAGGGTAACTACTAAAACAATAAGAAATAAGATGTATAACTTCCAAACCAGCAGTGATGAAAAAAGAGAAATGAAGAAATCTGATTAATTCAATAGAAAGGAGGGGGAAAAAAAGAAGAAAACTATGATAAAGTACAAAATAAAATGATACACAAATACTCAGTAATCACAAGAAATATAAACAGACCAAGAAGATCATTTAAAAGTTAGAAATTCTCAGTAAGAACTTTTTAGGTCTAGTCATATACAATATATAAGAGGTCTTACAAAAACATGAGACTACAGAAAGTTTAATGTATAGGAATGGAAAAATTATAACCCCAGCAAATATTAAACAAAAGAAGGCTGTTGCAATTACATTAATACCTAGAAATAGATTTTAAGACAAAATGCATTATTAGAAAAAATGAAGACCATTTCATAATGACAGTAAAAACAATTCACAGGAAGATATTACAATTCTGAGCCTCAGTACCCCATAACACAGCCTCAAAATTAACGGAATGAAAAGGAGAAACTGATGAGTCAATAATCATACAAGGACATCCAAAATACTTTCTTCATAAGTGATAAATTGAGCAAATAAAAAAATAAATAGAAAATTTGATCAACAAAATTAGCCAACTCAATCTAATGGTCATACATACAATCCTGTACCCAGCAATAAAATATGCATTCTTCTCAAGCACACTTGAACCTTTATACAAAATAACCATGTTCTAACCCACAAAGCAAATCTCAATAAATATCAAAGAATCTATATCATATAGAACACATTCTCTGATCACAGTGGGATTAAGCTAATTCTCCAAAAAGCGTTATGTTTGAAAAATTTAAAACACTTCCAAATAACTCACAGACTACAGAAACACATAATGAAAATTTAAAATATTTAGAAAAAAGCAATAAAAATACTGTGTATCTAAAACTTCTAGGACGCACCTGAAGTTGTATTTAGATAGAAGTTTATAGCTGTACATGCTTATAAGAAAAGAACAAAGGTTGAAAATTAATGAACTGTCCAGTTCAAAGGATAGAAAAAGGACATGGAAGAAAATAAAAAATAAGGGCAGAAATCAATAAAACTAAGAAAAGAGAAATCACCAAAATTAAAAGCTCTTTTTAATAAGGCCTATGAAACCAACAAACTTCAAAAGGAAAGTAGACAAATCAATATTAAGAAAGAAAAGGAGGAGACAGTTATCAAAACATTACAGATTTTAATAATCTTAAGAGACTATTTTGGACAACTTTATGCCAACAACTTTGAAAACTTAGAAATAATGAAAAATTTCCAAAAACATATAATTTACTAAAACTAACTCAAGAAAAAGAGAAAATCTAAGCAGCATCATAACCATTAAAGAAATTGAACCTATGATTTAAAGTCTGTCCACATACATGTCCACATACCAGGTCCAGATGATTTCACAGGCACATTCTACCAATCATGTAAAGAACCAATTAACCCTGATCTTATCAGACCATCCCACTGAGAGACAGACTGAGACAGAGATGAATTCCCCAACTCATATTATGAGACTGATACAGTCTTGATACCAAAACTGGACAAGGATAATGCTAGAAAGTTATGCCTATCAATATCAGAGAGTTACATTAAGGCTAATCTCACGTAAAAGTATAGACTCAAAAACCCTAAATTAATATTAGCAAACCAAATCCAATGACATACGTATAGATTATGTATCAGCAATGTACAAATTATGTATCAAAAGCAAATAGGGCTCATACCAAAAATGCAAAAGCGGTTTAACATCAGAAAAAGCTATTGATGTTGAGTCACCCCATTAACAGATTAAAAAATTTAAAAAAATAGATGATCAACTCAATAAAAGCAGTAAGAGCATTTGATAAAAACAATACTCATTCAAATAAAGGATTCTTAACAAAATAGGGACAGAAAATATTTGCTTATAAGAGAGACCACTGAAAAAATAAGCAAATGTAATTCTTGATATTAACATATGAGAAGTGTTCCTGATAGAGTCTGAAATAATAATAAGGATGCCTACTATCATCAGTCATGTTTATTCAATTATATTCAAGTTCTTAGTCTATGCAGTTGCGGGGGAGAGAGAAAGGGAAGGAGAGAAAGAAAAGGTATATGGATTAGAAAGGGAAAAACAAAGCTATCATTATTTACAAATACTGTAACTACCTATACAAACAATAGATTTAATAAAAGATTTCAAGGTTGCAAAACCCAAGATCGGCGTATAATAACCAAAAGTGTTCCTATTCACCAGCAACCAAACAGAACACATAATCTTTAAAAAGATATGAATTTAAAACAACAAATCTTCCATAAAATAATGTAACAGATATACTCATGACCTTAAGTTAGGGAAATTTTTCTCAAATAGAAAAAAAAAAAAACACCATTCAGAAAGGAAAAGACTGATAAATTGGACTATATTAAAATTAAAAACTTTTGTTCATGAAAAAACACCATTAAAAGAGTGAAAAGGCAAGCATATCAGTAATACGTATGCATGACAGAAGTCTTATCTTTACAATATGTTAAAACTCCTACAAACCAATTTTTTTAATGGGCAAAAGACTGGAAAGAGGATAAACAAAGAGCCAATAAACAAACGTGAAGGGGCTCACCATCATTATCAAGAAATTACAAATTAAAACCACAATGAGATATAACTGCACACCCATCAGAATGGCTAGAAATAAAAAGACTGACTATATACCAAGTGTTCATGAGTATGTGGAGCAAAGAGAAAGCTAAAACATTTTTGGTAGGAGTGGACACTGGCAAGACCATTTTGGAGAACTGTATGTAGAGAAACTGAATATATGCATCCTCGAAGACTCAGAGATTCCCCCCTCTTGGTATAGGTACACCATCAGAAAGGTATTCATATGGGCACAAAAATCCATGTACAGGCATGTTCATAGTAGCATTATTTATTTTAGCTCAAAACTGGAAGCAACCCAAATGCCCATCAACTACAGAAAGCATACACAAGTTGTGGTATAAGCCTTCACTAGGATACCATAAAGGAAGAAAAATGCACAAACAACTACAACATGCAACAGCATGGACAAATCTCACCAAGAGATTGTTACCAAAGGAAGCCAGACACAAAAGAAGCCATACTGAGTTCAAAAAGGGCAAATCTAATCTACAGTGCTAAAGTCAATAAAATGGGTTATCTTTTGAAGGGTGACAACTGAAAGGGACATGCGGAAAGCTTCCAGAGTACGAGTGATGCTCTATATCTTGATGTGGGTGATGGTTACAAGGCTGTGTTCACTTGATGAGAATTTTCTGTACTGTAACCACTTGCAAGTTAAGTATGTACTTTCCTGCATATATGTTATAACCCAAAAAATTACTTTAAAAATATATGTATGTGATCAAAATGATGATATCCCAGAAATAAACCTGATTAAAGAAAAGTGTAAAATCTTTACGGAGAAAAACTCACAGTATGATTATAAATTTCATATACAAGAGCAAATGGCCAGAAAGAAGAAAATGAAAAAGTGTGTGCATATGATGAAGACAAAGATTTGTAACACCAGATTCAAGATATTACGACAGTGATTCAGGAATTTAGAAAGGAATTTAGTGTAGGGAGAGATAAGTAATTCAACAAAATTAAGAGCTCAAAAATAAAATACATAAAAAGAAACTTGACATGCTACAGTGGAGTAAAGAATGAGCTAATCGATAAACGATACTGACAGAACTTATTACCCATCATAAAAAAGAAACTTTAGAAAATTAGATTCCCAACCTCACAACATATTCAGGAATAAATTCCATATGGATTAAAAACCCATGAAAAGTAAAAATCTTTAAAATATTCAGAAAAAATATAGAAGAATAGCTTTGATATTAAGGTCTTAAGCTTAAGAATAGCTTAAGACCTTGGATAGGTAAGGATTTGTTAAATAAGACATAAAAGGTACAAACGATAAAGAAAAGGACTAAAAAATATGACCGTATTAAAATTTATGCTCAACAAAAGATACTGGTAAGTAAAAAACAAAGCAGACAGCTATAGCACATAAAATCAACAGAGGACTCTCATTCCTAACACAGAAAGAATCCAATAAACCTAAAAGAAAATGTCAAGCCACCAACTTTTTAAAGAGGCAATCAAAAAAGATAAAAGCTAAATAGCCAATTAAAGTTGAAAAGATGCTGCTTACCCGCTGTAGCTAATGTGTGTGACGCTGTGTGCATCAAGAGCCCCCCATTTCCAGTTCTGCCACTAACTAGATGTGATCATGGACAAACATCTTACAAAGGCACCCCGGCTTCCTCATTTGTAAATGGTGAGATCTGTGCTTCACCAGATAATTACAAAAATTTCTTCATTGGATAATTCTAATTCTTTCACTGGATAAAGATCAATTTATTAAATATGTGAACTTAAAAAAAATTAGTGCAACATACAGATTAAAAGTTGTTGCCATTATCACTATTAACAGAATGTAAGTCTTCTAAGTATTAATGCTCTTTCAGCAACTTGTTCATTTTCCTATTAATAGAAAAGGGAAGGTCCATACGAAACGATAAAAGGAAAGCCAGTGGAAAAAATACTCAGCAGCATCTTTCCAGCACCATCTTTGGGAATGGACACCCTGACCCACCACTGCAAAAAGCAGGTGTGCTTGACAATTTTCTGTCACTCCTTCATTCATTCAACGTTTTTTGATACATACTACGTGTCAGGCCCTCTTAGGTACTAAACAAGATACAGGCCCTATCCTCATAAAGTCCGGCATAGAAGACATATAACAAACAATAATTCTTACAATTAATTGATTAATTAATGAGTGCTGTGCTAAGGACGTCAAATGTAAAATAACCGTGCGTATGAGTGCACGTAACAAGGGACCTGACCCAGTCTAAGAGGTCAGAGAGGGCTTCCATGAGGAAACGCCATTTAAGCTGAGACCTGCGGTATATCAAAGTCTCATTCTTGGATGACACAAACCATTAAGATCATCCATCTAAATCCACGGCTCTAATACCTCCTCACCCAACAAACTTCTGGTTTTAATTTTACTTCCAACATAGGTCTTGCTATAAGGAGAAAACATGTTGATCTCTGCCACAAATAGTCTGATTTGCTTGGCACTAACATCTCTAATTCTAAAACTAAAAGAAGGAACTCAGACATTTTCTAAGAAATGGTAACATGGGAGGCAGCATGGTAATGAGCAAACAGACCCTCAGTTCTACCACTGTCTCTGTCACTGTGGTACCTTTTAAGCTGATCAACTGAACTGTCTGAGACACCCTCTCCTCATTCTTCCACAAGAGGAGAAATTCAGTACCTCTCCGAGATCCCTTCCAGCTATGACAGTTCAAGGGCTAAATGTAAGAAAGTGGTGAGCAGGTCATGTATCTCTACCTTTGGCTTTCTTGGTAGCAAAATGACAGACTGGTACAGCTGGAGAGGCCATGGATTGCCCACGGTCATTTTGTCTTCCACTCACTGTCTTCAGCATCCCTTCCGAAACAGGTCTGGTCCAGGCTGCAAGGGAGTTACAAAAGACAGGGTGGACCAAGCGGAAGCACCTTAAGCCCAAGGCCATGACTGAAGACAATCCTTGTGAACATTCACTAAAAAGAGTAAGACAAAAAGGAGATCTAAGTAAAACAGACTGTATTACAACTTCAGAAAATAATTTGTTATTTATTAAATAATTATGAAGCAACCCCTGCAAACTGAGCTGTGTGCTAGGCAATTTAAATATATCATCTCCTCCCAACAGCCATCCAAGGAAATATGATTAGCCCCATATTACAGGATGAAGAGATTGAGGCTCGCAGAGATTTAAGTAACTTGCCCACAGTCTGTAAGACTCGATATTGCCAGGCTCTTTCTACTGTACCAAATGCCTCTTAGAGTACACAGGGAACACAGAGTAAGCAAACGTGCAGCAGCCTAAATCTTTAATGATGCTAATTAAATCCTTACATGAGAAAAGGCAAAAAATCTTGATAAAGTTATACTATAAAGAGGGAGGGCAGAGCACTGAAAGAGGGCTTTAAACTAAATAAAAAAAAATCATTTCAACAGGCATAAAATGACTGGAAAATTCACACGACAGCATTTAATTAAAATTTTCTTTGGTTCCTTATGCACTGATTACCAATTAGAATGCACTTTACTTTAATGTGAGTCTGAAGCACGGTTGAGGTTTGAGGTCTTCCATGTTACAGAACTGAAGCTCTGGAAAATGCCACCCTCCTCTGTGTTAACACAAGTTACACATTATACATCTAAGGTTCTGACCATGAAAAGATGCTAGCATCTAGCTAATGTACACCTAGCATCTGCCAGGAATCCGGCTATCACTCAGTTAAAACCAAAAACAATTCTCATCAAATACCTGGAAGCTACTACTATCTTTGAAAATCTGTCCTACACCTCATTTAAAAAAAAGAAAAAGAAAAGAAAATCCTATCCTAAAATGTTGATGCAGTAGAACTAAATCAGAGCATCTACTCTGTAGCCAGATGGACTCCAACCCCGGCTCCACCACTGACTAAATGCCCTTGACCTGACTCTGCACCTCGATTTCCTCAACTATAAAATGGGGATAATTATAATTATTTCTTAGGGTGGGGGAGAATAAATGAGTTTATGCAGGTAAAATAATTGGCACAGTGCCCAGCAGACAGCAGGAGCCCCAAAAAGGGTATCTGTTCGTAACTATTGTCTTTCCTTTCAAAAAGACTTTCATGCGAGGGTCAGACACAATAAAGAAATCTTGCATGTCATTATACAAGATAGCCTAGTCAGTCAAATCTGGATGTACATTTTTTTTTAATTTTTTATTTAAATCCCAGTTAGTCACCATACACCATACATACACCATACACCATATATTAGTTTCATGATTCCACACTTCCGTCCATCACCCAGTGCTCGTCATGACTAGCGCCCTCCTTCATCCCCATCACCTACTTAACACCCAGCTGCTTTTATTTTATTTATTTATTTTTTTGGATGTACATTTCAATTTTGGACAGTTCACTCCAGCTATCTGGGCATCACTTTCCTCATCTGCAAAATGAGAAAAATAATCCTGATCTTAAAATGAAATAGTAAGTGTATGGAAAACACCTAACACAGTGCCAGGAATACAGTATTTGCTTATTAAATGCTATCATTATCATTATTTCTTAAAAGAAAAGCAAATGAGCAGAGCAAAGGCAAATTATTTCTCCTGATAGAATTTTTTTCTCTCCTGATGGGATTTTTAATAGCAAGGGACGCTAGATGTCATGGATTAGTATATGAAGTCAGTAAAAACAAATCTGGATTAAAAAATGAAGAAGTATCTTTTCTTCTTCTTTAATTATTATCAATAGCTGCTATTAACTGAAGTCAGGCCCAGGCTGCTTGCTTTACCTGTACATATTTCACTTAATCCTCCCAATAATGCCCCAAAGAAAGTATAGTAATCTCCATTTTACAGATGTAGAAACTGAGGTTCAAAGAGACTGTCACTGTCCAAGGGCATGGAACTAACAGCTCTGCCCTATTTCGGCAAAACTGTTCGCAAAATTTGGCTCTGAGTGAGGTTTCTATATCTAGATTTTTCTAATATAGCCAATGCCTAACCCACACTTATATCCAAATATGGCTGTATAATAATGTGTTTTTTTAATTTATTTTTTTTAATCTACAGGGTCTCAATTTGGCTGCTCCATTTAAGACAGGTTTCCTGGTGTTCCTGTTGCAGGTCCTAATACCAATCCACAAAGCAACAGGAAATCAAAATGGGTTAGAAATAAACAACCTTTGACAGAAAATGCAGTACCCAAAAGCAGACCCAGTACATGTGAACCGGAAGACAACTCTATAAATAAACCACATTGCTGAAATGTTTTAGGCACAGATTTTAATTGCACAGAAGTCAGGAAATTTCAAAGTGGAAGTTCAATAAAGGCAGTCCCCTTGGGCCCTTTACCTTAAGGACATGCATATTAACAGTTCAGCACAGAAGAATTAAAGTCGAGGAAAGGAACTGTCACAGGAGCCCAATCCAACAAAATTAGCCTATACTCAGAGAAATATGTGTCAGGAAGTACCTGGGCTTTGGACACGGTGTTGAACTGGAATCCCGCACTTATTAACTCTGTGACCTTGGGTAGATCATTTCGCCTCTCTGAGCTGGTTTGCACCCCATTTTTACCATGGTGATATTAATGAGGCTTTAAAAAGATAATTATAACAATAAAAAATGAAACAATTGCCAACACTTACAGAGTTACAACTATGTGCCAGAAAACAATTCTAAGTGCTACACTGCATACATTAACTTATTTCAACCTCATGGTATCACTATGAAATAAGTACTATCAGTACACCCATTCTATGGATGAAGAAATAAAGGCACAGATAAATAATTTGCCCAAGATTAGAATTCAGGCAGTCTAGCTCCAGAGTCTGTGCTCTTAACCACTATACTGTACTATTACGTACCTGAAACCACTCAGAGCAATTACGGACATTATTGTTGAAACCGTTGAAGTAATTCTTAAAACTATTTGAAGCACATACTGTTTTTCCAAAGTTAAGGTTCTCAAGACTTGACTTTGTTTTCCATAGGTGTATTTTAATTTTAAAAAAGAACTAGATAAGGAACACAAAGCCCATTGTCCACTGTCCCAGCAACCTCTCCCAATTCAGCTGTGTATCAGCTTATGATAGGTACATTTTTAATACTTTCACATGTATTATCTGATAACCAGATTTGTGATTACCACCCACATTTTACAAATAAGCACACTCATTTTTCATTTCCTGGAATATTCCTTCTGCTCCTAGGTCTTCAAACATACTGAAGTTGAATCTGCTTGGAATGATTTTCCCCCACCTCTTTAATGAACTACCGCCCATTCTTCTTTCAGATTTCAACTTAAGCATCACTTTCTCAGAGGATGCCTTCTCTGGCCGTCTCCTCCAACGCAACTAGATCAAATGTCCTGTAGTTTTTGTTAACACCCTACACTTCACAGTGCTTAAACAATATTAGCTAATATTTGCAGAGTTATTTGATCATTGCCTAATTCCCTCCACAAGACTATAACCATCGCAAGGACTGATCTATGGTTGTCTTGTTCACTGCCATACCTCCAGTACCCAGCACAGTCCCTAAACACAGAAGGCACTGAATACAAGTGATGAATACATGAATGAAAGTCTAGAAAGAGCAGGTCCTTGACCAAGGTCACAATTATGTTTCGATTTGGAATCTAAGCCTCAGACTGAAGGTCCTGGGATCTACTTACCAACAGAGCTTCAGTGATCCCTTGGTTTGCTAGATTTTCCACATTCAGATAGTAGGGTACGCTCTCTAAATTCAGTGCCATGTAAAGGTGTTTATAGCAACTGACTACATAGAATCTGACTATTCATAGTATCATGACTATAGTATAGAATCATGGCCCTGACATAGCCAAAGGAGGGTAAGACACTTTAACAGGTGGAGAAAGAGCTTTTGCCTAAGAGCTAGAAGGTATGGATCCCAATATTCCTAGTTCATTACTCCCTGCCAACCATCCTCTATAGATTCATAATCACCTGTACTCAAAAAGCATTTGTGCCAGCTCTAGGACTGACATATGACTTGTATCAAATCATTTCTCCCACCTAGGTTGTGTTTCCTCAACTGTAAAATGAAAGGGTAGTGCAATGGAGTGTAGTGAAAGGAAAACGGAACCAAACTTAGAGAAGACCTGGGAAAGAGCCCTGGTTCTAGCACTTCCTAGATAAGTGACCTCAGCTAGGTCGAACTCTCTGGACCTCAATCTCCTCTGTAAAATGTAGACGACAGTACTATTTGTCAGGGTTACCAGGACGATCCAATGAGATAAGGGCTGCAGAAACACTTTGTAACTAGATAACAGCTACAAAAATGACAACTGTTCGCCAAGGGAAGACACAGAGTAATGGCTAAAAGTTGAAGCTTTGTAATTTAAGTTCCATCACATACTGGCCGCATGACCCTGGTAGTTATTTCTCTGAGCTTCCATTTCTTCATCATGGGGGGGGAGGGTAATAATACCTACTTCCATGGGAAAACTAAATGTTCCTGCCAAATAGTGGGCTACTAAGTAGTGGCTACTTTTGAGTAAGCTCCCTTCCCCTCCGCCATCCTCGAAGTTCCTAGCTGAGGAGACAAGCCCCGCCCCCACCCCACGAAACTCTCTGGGAAGCGACAGGTCCCGCCCCCAGCCTTAAAGGTCAAGCCGGACTCGAATGGAACCGGTCGGGGAACGGCGATCGGACTCCCTAAGGTCCCCCAGAAATCTTTGAAGAGAAGTCTCTGACACCCGGACCCAGCGCGCGCCTCGAGGCCGTGCAGAGGCCACTCACCAGCTATCGCCCAAGTTACTAGGAAAAGACCTACGCCACCGCGGTGACGGCGGCGGCGCGGGCGCCATGACGTCACGGGGCCGGCGTGGCGGCGCAGGCGTAGCGCGTCACCGACGGCCTGGCAGGAGGCGGTGTCGAATCGGACGCGTTTGGAGGGCTGTCGGGCCGCGGAGTCGGGATCTGCTTCTGGGGCATGAGCCGAGGGGACGACGCCGAGGCCACGAGGTGAGTCCGGCCGCGATGCGCCCCTGCACCCCATCACAGGCCCCGCGAGGGGCTCGCAGAGCAGGCTGCCCTAGCAAGACGGCTTCTCAGGCCCCGCCCCGGATTGTCCCGCCGCTAGCCCGGAAATAACAATCCGAGAAATGACCCATCGCATCTGGGAATTCGCGGCCAGGAATAGGGAAGCCGGGGTTCCAGGCTTGACCCTGCCGTTACCGTTAGCTTTAGGAACAAGTGGCTTTGCTTCTCTGGACTTTAGTTTCCCCGTATGATTATTCCCGCCTTCCAGGTTGTTGCAGGTCAGCTGCGAGGATAGATAACAGCGTTTTGTGAACTCTCTTAATCTAGGGGGTTGTCGCCATTGCAGACCTAAAAGATTTTGATAGTCGCATGCCATCTTGATCTCATTACACTTCACCGTTCCTCAAAAGGCCCTGGGCTGAGCTGTCACAGATACTGTCTCATTTAAGCTTCTTAACGACCCATGAGTTAGGGATAATCGGACCCATTCTAGAAAGGAAGAAGAAACAGAGGCTCCGAGTGGAGACTCATTCATTCATTCAGTAAATATCGAGCACCAGCCATGAGCCAGGCAGTGTACTAAGTGCTAGGGATAGAACTATGATCAGGACAGGCAAGGCCCTGCCCTGTAGAAGCTTCCATTCTAGTGAGGGAGACAGAATATGGAATAGGAAATAATATTGAATTAGCATTATCTGGAAAGGAAAGGTGTCTTTGATAGAGTCTAACAAGGAGCTCAACTCTTAGGGAAAGCTTTTCTGAGAAGACACTTATTAAATCATGCAATAACTGGGTACAAAAGCCAGGATTTGAATATAGATCTTTTGGCCCCATATCCTGTACTCTTGCCACCAAAATATGATACCCTCCTGTGATATTAAGTAGTTGTTGGTATTGCTGTTTTCAGACATGAGAAAATCAGGAGGTCCTGTCATTTGTTATGTCCTTCAGAGAGGCCTTCCTTCTCCACTAATTCTGAAGTAGTCCAACCCCCGTCTCCCTGTCAAATCACCTTGTTTAATTGTGTTTGCAGCTGTCAGTAGTTACTTACATATTGCTTATTTATTTAATTTTTGTTTTTTTCCCCCTGCCCCTCTTCCAAATACAAGCATCCCTAGCGGAGACCTTGTTTGTTCATTGCTCCGTCCCCAGTATCTAGACAATACCTAGAAATAGAAGCTCAATTTTTTTTTTGTTTTGTTTAATGAATGAATGATCTGTAGGAAAATAGGAGGAAAGGAAAGCAGGGGGAAGACAAAATGCTTCTCCTCCTCTGTTTCCACTGCTGAGATTCTGTTTCTGTGTGTTTCACCTTTCTCTCAGGAGGTAAGAGCAAGATCTATAGTTTATTCATTTCTCTATTTTCAGCACATAGCCCTGGGTTTAGCAGTTAGCAGTTGCTTATCATGCATTGCTGAACAGATGGAACATGTGAGTGAGAAAGGAAGAAGAATACCCTCACATGTGGGGCTAGATAAACATGTTCACCAAATGCGTAAGGCCCACCGTGTGCCAGACTTCATAGGCTCTACTGAGATGAATAAGAGGTAATGACAGTGTTCAGTATATGTCACCTGTTGTGTTTGAGACAGTTCCTGCAGCACTGACCTTTGAGGCACATCTGCTTACATGATACACATGGTTCCTATGTGTATTCTAGTTCTGACGTCTGACACAGCCTGACTCTTTTCCCAGCTCTTTTTTCTTTCTCTACCACATTATACATTTGTTAAAGCTTTATTTTGCATCTGTCGTCTCATTTTTGGCCCTCTCAGCAACCTTAAGTTACAAGCAGGGCAAGGTTTGATATGTAGAGATGAGGAAACAAGCTTAGAGAGAGGGAAGTGACTTCCAGTGGAAATGCCAAAATTTGAAACCATGTCTTGACATCCAGGTTTTTTCTCTTGCCCCTATTGTCTCCATCGTAACTCTCATCCTCCCTTTTTGGTTGTGAAAGGAGTCATTTCAGGATGGAAGACTAGTAATAATTTAAACTAACTTCAATTGAAAGCTTCTTAGGTGCGATGCATCGTTCTTAACGCTTTGGGTGTGTTAACTCAGTAAATCCACACAGCTTTTATGAGGTGTTACTCCATTTCAGAGATGAGGAAACTGAGGTACAGAATGGCAGAGTAACTTGAGCAAGGTTACGCAGCTAGTAAACAGTGCAACTGGAATGACTGAGGAGAAATTAGTCTCTTCTTCTGAGTCTCTCCCAAAATATTAAACATGATACTAGTGAACATTTATCGATTGCTTGGTGCTGTTAGATGGAGTGTTTAATGATTTTTCATGCACTATCTCTAATCTTTGCAGCAGCCCTATAAGATAAGAACTGTTCTCTCCATTCATAGTAGGAGGAAACGGAGGCTAGAATGTTCAGATTATTCACCAAGTCACACAACTGGCTTTCAAACTGAGTTCTAACTCCAAAATCTACGGTCTTCAATTTCCTAGATTGCCTCTTTCATGAGGAAGACATGGGTGCTGCTCTTTCCCACCCATCTCCTTCAGTGCCATTAAGACTCTTCTTTCTGGTGATTTCCAAGACTTGTTTTGGGTGACAGTTTTTAAACTGGAGTATCATGTAGTAATAGAGTCTTTGGCCTCCTGCCCAGTCTGCCTTTGGCTTCAGAAGAGGAAAACTAGTTTCTGCACACAGAACCACGCCCCTTTCACCTTAAATGGAAGCTTTTGCACTCTGGCTGCCAGAGGAGCTGTCCCAAGGGAACTGGTGCTGGGACCCTGGTTGTGGAATGACTGAGGCTTTTGAAGAACTGGCCAGAGCTTCTCCTCCTTGAATAACTGTTTGTTGGATTTGAAGCCTCATGTTCACACAGTGTTGCCCCTCTCCTGCCTGAATGTTCACGTGTCCTTTAGTTTTTCATAGAGATTGATGGAAGCAGAAACCAAAACTCTTCCCCTGGAGAACGCATCCATCCTTTCAGAGGGTTCCCTGCAGGAAGGGCACCGGTTATGGATTGGCAACCTGGACCCCAAGATCACAGAGTAAGTCTAAGTCCACTTAAGTCATTACCTGCAACACTGGGATGTTTGCACTGATAACGTTCAGAAGAATTTTCAAGAGATGCAGGATATATTTTGGCCCTTTTATTTATGTTTTAATTATCTTCGAAGGGTATGTGCTTTTGTTGCTAACCTGTTATGTTGACATTTTTCTCACGTTTGAACTCTTCTGCAAGAACATAGGCTTGGGTATTGTTTAAAACATACACCTCTTTTTTCCTATTTGCCAAAGATGGTTTCCTGTTTTCACCAATTTGAGTCCTTGTACCCAGTGACACAGGCATTATTTTCTAGAATCAGCCCACGACATACTTTCGTTCCTCAAAATGAAGGAACAAGCAGAAGTCTCAGTACCTTCACAAACAGGCAGAGGGTACCACTTGATTGTAATTCGTGTGAGGCAGCCATGGAACCATAGAAGGTCACAGCTGGAAGGCATCTTAGAGATCACATCAGTCCCTTCGGTTTTCATTCAGTCGAGAAATGATGTGAGTGCCTGTTGTGTGCCAAGTGCCCATTTGTGCCTAGTGCCATGCTAAGCAGTGCTCAGACTTTTTAAATCTGAGGAACCTGTGTTAAAGTAACCTGTTTATAAAATAAAGCTCAGAGCTGCTCTGATTGGGGGGGCAGGGGGAGAGGTCCACCCAAAGCCTTTTGGCAACTGCCACCCTTTCTTCGGTGGTAAATTACACGACTCCATGGAGCACACTTGTAAAGCTCTGATATGATCCAGCTCCCTTATCCTACAGTAAAGGAAACTGGGGCCTAAGACATGGAAATACCTTGCTCAGGGTAACAAAACTAATTAAATTGTCCTGACTCCCCGCTCTTTGTACTGTGGCCATTATAGTGGAAAGCAGTTTCTTAGCAGAGAGAATTAAGAGGTTTTTCCTTCTCCCAGTTGCTCAGTAGGTACAGGGCTACGGTTGGTGGCAGGATGGGTAAGGAGTGAGTAGATCAGGCTCTATGGGATCAATGCTTAAACCAAGCATAAAGTATGCCATCAGTCCTAAAAGTTACTCCCTTTGGAATAGTGTTAAAGGCAGGGTGAGAGGAGACAAGAGAATCCACTTATTTGAATCAAGGATGCGAAGAGGTGTGTATAGGATTGGGACTGGGAGAAAGAAGGGGATGTGAACTAACGGATCACAATCATAACAGAAAGTTTAGTTCTTTAATCCTACTCAAGTTGAGATCAGCTAAACATGGATAACTTTGGTCCCTCTAGGAATTATGATGCCATTTAAGATATGTTGTCCCCCATGTTATGTTATCTTGGTCACTGGGGCCCTGGAATGAACTGTGCATTTGTTTTGGTTCTCTCTATGGCTCGTGGCTTTGAGGATGAATGTGTGAATCAGCCAAACCTCTCAGTCATGTCTGTTGATCAGAGAAGCTGTTTGCATCATCTGAAACCCAAGCTGTGAGGGGATGCTCCCAAGAGTGGTTTCCATTCCCACCTCTGCTTGTGTGCATGGAAATCTGGAACATGGAAACACTGTTCATTGTTTTGGCTGCAATGCACTGTAATGAGACTTGTTCTAATTGTGTCCTGCTGCTTGATAGGAAGATCCAAATAGGCATCTGCCCCCTCAGTTTATGTCATAAGTTGGAGTATGTGAATGTTTTTTTCAGTTAGAGCATTAACAGGAACATTGAAAGAAAACTTTCCTACTCGTATCTCTGCCCTTTTTATATCAGGCCAAAGGTGGACCTCACGTACTGAACTGCAGATCAGGGCTTTGCAGGGTCTGCCTGTGGCTTCCCTACCAATGGGTCACCTGCGATTTTGTTTA